CAGCTTCCAATCGATAGTAAGTGTTCCAGTGTCAAATGACGTTTGAAAGAGCATCGACAAAGGCACAGAAAGCTCACTGGCAAGTTCCTTGAGAAGCTTGGGTAGAATCTCGTCTGGTCCTGGTGACTTCGAATCGTTCAATGTCTCTAATTCTCTCCGGACAATGCCTTCTGAGAAGAGTATATCACTGACATTTAGGGCCGGCAGTTCTTCTGTGGAGGAAGGAATGAACTTTGACTCGTTTGTGTAGACTGATTGGAAAAACTGTGAAAAATACGCAGCTTTATCACTACTATCAGCAATCTCAACGCCATCAGTAGTCCTTATTAAGGGGATTTGATGCCTGCTCCTTGTACTTCGTCGGAGGTAAATGTAGAGCAATTTTGGGTTCTGCGTTGCTTTTTGTAGCAAGGTCTTCTCGAATTCCCGTCGCGGTTTCATGATCAGGTTCCTCAGTTTGTTCCTCTGTGTCTTGTAGGTCTGGAAATATTCAACTTGCCCAGTGACGCAGTATTTTCTCCACAGTTTGTGCTTCCTGTTGATTTCTTTCTTAAGGTTGCTATTTAGCCACCCAGGGCGTTTATTCAGTCTTACACTAGTCAGTGGGCAGTGGTTATTGATAAGCTGCAGAAGGACATTCTTGAACAGCTCCCAGTCATCGTTGGCATTTCCCGTAAACACCGAGCCCCAGTCGAGACCGGATAAGTTTGCCCTCATCTGATTGAAGTCGCCTCGCCAAACGTTTCATCTTTTTTGGTCTGGAGAATGCGAAATGGAGAATAACGAATAATCCCACATAAGCACCACGTGATCACTTCGGCCAAGAGGCGGCATGGAGGTGATCTCGTCTATGCTGTCTGGTGTTTTCGTAAAAACCAGATCAAGGCAGTTTGCCCTTTGTCCTTCACGTGTTCTCGTTGGGAACATGACATGTTGTGTGAGTGACGCCTTTAATGTTTTGTTCAGCAGACGGTAATCGAATGCCGACTTTGGATCTGACGCTCGGAGGGTATTCCAGTTTGTTCCTGGTGCGTTGAAGTCGCCCATGATCATGACGTTAGGTCGACTGGAAAATTTCTCCAACTGCACTAATAGTTGAGTGTCGGCGATATGGTCTGTCCTAGGTGGTCGGTAGACAGTGAGGACATCGAGACACGGGGAACCGGTAGCCCTGATGGTCAACCAAATAGCTTCCGTGCCGCACGCAAACTTGGTGGTGTTTAACGACACTACCAGGCCTTCATTCACATCCACAACTATACCACCACCCTGACGATGTTCCCTGTCCCTCCGATAAATCTGGTATCCAGGCAAGGCTACTTCGTTATCGCTTATATTCCCGGACAGTCAGGTCTCGGTTATTGCTAAAAAATCTGGAGACAGCTCGACAAAGCAAAGTTTTAGCTCATCTAGTTTCGATATGAGGCTTTGGGCATTCGTGTACAAGCATCTGAGTTTTGCATCAGCCGAATTTCCCGTTGAGCACTACTCTGTTATCTCGAACGCCATGTTCTCTGGGCTGATGTGTTCCATTTATATGCGTTGCTTCAATCAGATCACTGGACATTACGCGCTTACTTGTGTTGCCGCTTTGAGCAGGTGGTTCAACGAAGGTATGTGTGCTAGCTGAGTAGCTGCCGTCGTTCTTAATATTACAGGCTGGTTCCACTGAAACGACATATATTTCCGAACTACCTTCCCCTTGAAGATAGCCAGATTGTGTTCGCCATCCTTCAGTCTTGATTTTAACTCCAAGACAAGTTCCCCGCGTTTCAGCCGTTCCGCTAGTGAATAGTCCGGTTGAAAAAAACCTGTTTGTGTGTGTTTCTGAGATCGGTTTTTTTTAGAGGATCAACTTTATTTGTTCTTTGTTCTCCAGCAAAATTTTGAGAGGGTGAAGTGGTTGTGCAGCTGTCCTGTCTTCACTCTGTTTTCCTATCCGGAATGCCTTCAGAACTTTTATTTCAATGTCTGCCTGGAGTAACTGATTTAGTAGACCATGAAAAGAAGCAAGGTCCTCCGAGACACGGTCTTCAGGTCTGACTGCATTCGATTCCGACAAACCCTGAATAATAAGACACTGCTGGCGAGCATGGTCCTCCTTACTTTGCCTTTCCGGTGAATTCGCTGCATGTGGGCGACGACGATTTGCGGAGTCGTCACTTGGATGCATACTTTTGTTCTCTATCGACTGTCCCGAGCAAGCCATCAGGTCTGGCTGTAACTTCAGACTCCTGTCATGGCGTTTCCCTCTCCCCTCTACCCACGGGTTCGTGTCATCGCATTCAGATACGTGCTCTGTAGTGCGCTCGGGGTGGTTGCCAGAACAAGAGGGCAACAGTGGACTGGATGACCCAGGTATATCGTCTCCAGGCAGAAGAGAATTCCCGTCGCTAACAGCAAGAGGCTTAGGCGAGATAGCTTCTGCGCCAGGTAATTTTTGTGTAAAATTGCTTAAGAATTCTTGCATAAGAATCAAGTCTGCCCTTATCGGCGGCTTCGTTCTCGTTGTCCTGCTGTTACTGGCGTCTGCGGTTTTGGCTACTGGGTTGCTACTCGTGATTGAAGATGTCCCCTGAGGAGATATTTTTTCGCGTTTTTTGCGTTTTGCTTTTCGTTTTTGGGACTCTAACACTGGACACGTTCTGGTCGTCTAGGATCTGTTTCACGAGCATCCTTAAATCAGTAAGCTCTTTTTAGAGTCGTCCTTCTTGGATTTGGATATCTGCGCACCCAGCACAAGGCACATCTTCGTACCTCACACTTTTTGCGGTAATTACACTTTTTGCACGCTTTGCTGGTCGTTGGCTGGAAGCGCAGGTAGAGCGAACACAGGTTCTCGGTGCGAAGAACGTCTCACCAGACTTGTCTTCCAATGAGGTGCCGTCGTTGGTCGTACCATTACCGTTAGCTTGCTGAGATTCCATAAACTTCAACATGATATAGTAGGTATAATTTCGCCTTGGATGTTATAACAGATACGCCGGCTTGTATATGGCGAATTAAAGTGAGTGTTCAAAACTCAATAAGCGAAAAAAATATTTAAAATCCGATAAATTTTGTGGAATTTAATCAGAAGCGACTTAGCCCTTTGTAGATCTCGTAGGACTTGAATAACTGCAGACCTTGAAGGATTTTGAACGATTGGTTTCCTAGGCGGTATGGCCGCGATTCGGTTGTATAGGCTGAATAGCCGCGATTCGGTTGCGTAGTCTGATGCGTAGTCAGTTGGACCGTGATGATAAACAAACTGCACTTAATTCAGGTTCCTGGCGAATTTCAATGCGTGAAAAAAATTCCAAAAATGCACAAAGCAATTCTGTACGTACGGTTCCTGTATCAATGTCAGAGACGGTAATTGTGAAATGGTAACCAAGTCGAATTAGTCCCAGTTGGAGCGCAGAATAATTTCGTTGTGCTGGAAGTCTCTTCCATCTTTTATCACCCTCGCCAGCTTAAGATCATACTCTATGAGCATTATATGAAATTTCCCCGCCTGTATTGGGTCGTTCAAATAAATAGCAAATAGAAGCGGCTCAATAACTGGTTTTTGTGGGACTGCACATTTAACAAGTGTCCATTCTGAACAGTGGCCGCACGCAGTAACCTTTTGTTATGACCCGCCTGGTACTTGGAATCCCGTGGAGCGCATACGCCCCCAACCCTTGTCCCAATACCAAAGCAACAGAGAAGGAAATCAGGACCGGCCACGGAAAGTGTAGTAGAAAAACACTGCAAGTCGCGACAAACTGAAAGGTGACGCATATTTATAACACCCTACTGCGGTTCGCTGGCATTCGACCCAATGACCTTCGGTGAGAGGGGAGTAGCCAATAGAGAGGTACCCGGTTGAGATGACAGCGCTGTAGACAGAGCAAACACACGTGGTCTCCAGTGATTGGTTGGCTCTTATTTATAGGAATTTAGGCACTGCCAACACCTCCCCTCCATGTGGGTCATTAATGCTTTTGGCGTAGACTGACCTGCATCGGCACTGTTGATCGGCGCACGCGGCTCGTTCGGCGTCTTCGTCGTGGTTTATTCCCTGGAGACACGGGGGCAGTGACTAATACCGAAAGCGGTACATCCGGAGGAAATGCAGCAGTGGGTTCGGTAACCGGCCGATCTGTCGGAATGGCAAAGGTATCCAGTAGGATGTCAAGGGAGAATGACGGCATCGAGTCGAGCCCGGTTGTGTAATGAAATGTCGCCGTCAGATCTGGTTGTGGTGACGAACCCAGATCTGATCACCAACGTTGACATAAAATAACATGCTGCCTCTGTGCGCTACTACGTTTGCCTCAATCCAATCTGGGAACCCAGTTCTATAATCACGAACGAAGACAGGTGTTCCGACGGAAAGCTTGCTGCGAGAGACTTGAGAAGTCTGCACGGATTGAGCACCGGTATGAACGAGAGCACGAAACGTTGTACGCAGCTTTCGGCACATAAAACTTTGGGCAGGAGAAACACCGCCAGGAGACGCCCGGTTCGATGTTGTCCTGTAAGAAAGTAGGAACACCTGGACCATCTTGTCCGCGGTCCCTCCCCAACAGCTTTCAAAAGGGCTCTCTTAAAAGTGTCGACAAAACGCTCCGCCTGACCGTTAAACTGAGAATGGTAGGGCGGCGAGCGAAGATGCTGGATGTTGTGCTGGCGGCAGAAATCCTCAAACGTCGACGAAGTAAACTGAGAGCCATAAACTGAAACCAGAACTTCCGGTAAGCCATGTTGCTAAAAATGCGTCGTGGAAAGGCGATAGTGGCAGATGCGGTTGCTGAATTCAGCAAGGCAATCGCGGGCCACTTCCAGTAGGCGTCATCCAAGATTCGGTAGGAGACTCCATTAAGTGGGCCAGCGAAGTCCATGTGCACGTGTGACCAAGGCCTCTCCGGTCGTTGCCAGGGTATTAGAGATTGACGAGGCGGCATCTTGGCAGCTTGCTGACATAAAGAACAGCGTCGAACCAGGTCGTCGATGTCGCCGTCGATACCCGGTTATTAAGCAAAACTGTGGACAACAGACTTCATTTGACTGGCACCAGGATGAGCGGCATGGAACTGCCGTAGTACAGTGGCTCGGGGGGAAGATGGGATCAGCACACGGTATGCAAACATGAGACAGGAGTCAACCACGGATACCGATGCTCGGCGGAAAAGGTGGCAAAGATCGCCAGCGGGAGCAGTGGTTGGCCAGCAGGTCTGCACGTAGATGATGGACTGACGGAGGACAGGATCCTGTTCTGTAGCACGTCGGATGTCCGCGGCAGTGACAGGGATACCTGATATTACGTCTGATAGCTGACGGCGCACGTCGTCCTCAGTCGAAATATCGGCAATCAGGGTATCTTCCTCAGGTTCCTGCTGATTGCTGATGAGGCCAGGAAGGGCCTCAGCCTGACATGAGTCTGGGGTGCGACAGCGGCGAATGTCGAAATCGTAGCCAAGAAGGATGGTTGCCCATTGCTGAAGTCGGCTGGCTGAGTAGACGAGAATGCCCTTGTTGGAACCCAAGATTGACATCAATGGTTTGTGATCCGTCAACAACGTGAAGTGGCGACCATACAACAGTTTGTGAAATTTCTTGACGGTAAACACGAGGTCTAGAGCCTCTTTCTCTATTTGCCCGTAGTTCTTCTCCGCAGGGGTTAGAGTGCGAGATGCCTGCATGATCGTCTTTTCATACGCATCAAAAAAGATGTGAGATGGCGGCATCAACTCCGTGGTTGGAAGCATCTGCAGCAACAACGATCGGCAGCGTCGGATCGTAATGCGTGAGTAGCAGATCTGAACTCAACATCGACTTTATCTGGGCGAAGGCATTTTCGCAGTCGGAGGACCAGTACCAGGGAGCATCCTTCTTCAGCAGACGGTTGAGCGGGACCCCTACGTCATGCAGCGATTGTAGGAAGGCGCATTAGTATGAAACGAACGAAGTTGCGATACATTCTTGGGTGCAGCATCCGTTGGATGGCCCGAATGTTTTCAGGATCTGGATGGCGACCGGTAACGTCAAAAAAGAATCCGAGGGACTTGATGAAGTCGAAGAAGAATTGGCACTTGTCGACCCGTAGGCGAAAGCCATATTTTTGCACGCGTTCGAGTACTGCGCACATCCGGTCTTGCAGCTCGGCATGAGAGCGACCCACGATGATGTCGTTCAGGTACCCAACTGTGCCAGGGATGCCGGAAAACATTGCGTTTATCGTTTGTTGGAATAGGGCCGGGGCGATCTTGACACCAAAAGGTAGTCTGATATATTGGAACAGACCGCGGTGAATGTTGATGGTCAGAAATTTGCGCGACTCTGGGGCGATCTCGATCTGCAAATACGCATCAGCGAGATCCAACTTGGCAAAGCACGTGCCACCGTTCAGCAGGGCGAAAAGATCAGCCGGAACCGGTAATGGATAGCATTTCGGCGTCAGAGCGGCGTTGAGACCGATGGAGAAGTCAGCACAAATGCGGATCGAGCCATTAGGCTTCTTAACCAAAACGACTGGAACGACCCAGGCGGGGTAGGATACAGGAACTAGAACTCCCTGTTCCTCTGGATGCTTCAGATCAGCCTCGACAAGTGGTAGAGCTGCATGCGGGACTGGTCGCTTTGGACGGAAGACTGGTTGACTTCCAGGAGACATGTGTAGCACGACTTGAGTGTATGTGCAACGATCCAGGCCGTCTTGGAACACTGGGGCAAACCGCTGGCGAAGGACCTTGGCTTGGTCTGCGAGCACAGCGGAAATCGGCATCTGACTGCACACAAGTGCTACACAACCCCTCCGTAAGTTATTTATCGACACTTCGACGAATTAGGGAAATTCACGACCTAGTTATGAAAATGCATACACAAAGACCATAGCAGCAGAATATCGGGTATTAGAATCCCCTGAACGAACAGCTCAGATGTTTCAAAAACAAATGAATAATCATCGACAGTCAGGACCACGAATCATAATTGATGAATCAGGACAAGTTATGACAAATGACAACCAAATAGCAAACTCATTCAACAAATACTTCTCAGCTAACTACACAATCGAGGAGGAAGTGAGGCCCAACCGATCGAGAAGACAGAACCCATCCTTAGGGAGATCCGTATTGGTGAAGAAATTGTTAAAGTACCCATCAAGCAACTATCCAACGCCTATGGGACGGACAAAACGCCGCTATGTATTCTGAAGGGGTGTAGGGGGTGTCAGCGGTGGGTTCACGTGATGGTCGTAGTGGTCGCTCACTTGCTTGCAGGTGAGACTACGCCTAGCGTCCATTTGCTGGCACCCAACTCTCACCTGTGGCTCCACGTAGCTGGGCTCTGCTCAGCGGCCACACCCCGGGCAACCGTCTCGACCGGCGGGCTAAACCAGGTGAGGGCGCTGTGCGCTTTTGCCGCGTGCACAGTGTACTGCGGACTCCGCTGGATGGATGGTCGGATGAAACACTGCGCCGGCATCGTCGAGACGAGGCTCTGCCTGGTACGCCGTTGGATAACTGCTGCCGGGACGGGTCTCCGCATCGCCTTCGCTGAGACGCGCCCACCCTCGCCGACGGAGACCGCGGACTCACGGCATATGCGGTCGTTCTCCACTACGAACATAAAAGTCGTGGCCCCATAGTGGGATCGGTCGCGCCAACCAGGCACATGGGCAGCCCGATTCAGGGTCGGCACTGCCTGCCCCCATGAGGGGAAGGGCCTAGAAAAGGTGGCCTAAACATTGCTGGGTACCACGCCGTCTCCAGGCTAGCCAGGGCCGCAGACGTCTAATCATGGTCGAAACAATCAAAATCGAAACAACAACAATACCAATAACAACAACAACCATACTCATTCTCCTCATCCTACCTCTTCTTCCTCTACCTCCGTCTATTCTTCTGCCTATTGTTCTCCTTCGTCATCTTCTTCTCCATCTCCTTCCCGTCGCCCCACTCGTTGTCACCAGACTGGCAGGGTGAGTCCGCTCACTCTGGCAGCCTGGAATGTTCGTTCCCTTTTAGACAATCCGCGGAGCAACCGACCGGAAAGGAGGACAGCGTTAGTGGCACGAGAACTGGCGCGCTACAAGGTGGACATCGCCGCACTCAGCGAGACCCATTTCTCCGAACAAGGCCAACTGGAGGAGGTGGGTGCCGGCTACACCTTCTTCTGGAGCGGTCGACCCAGGGCAGAGCGACGGGACGCGGGTGTCGCCTTCGCCATTCGGAACGACATCGTGGGACGACTGCCCTGTTTGCCGCAGGGCATCAACGATCGTCTGATGAGCCTCCGCCTGCCTCTCCGGCGGGGGGGGCAATTCACCACCATCATCAGCGCCTACGCTCCGACCATGACCAACCCCGACGCCGTCAGAGACAAATTCTACGAGGACCTGCACGCCCTCTTGGCGACTGTGCCGATGGCGGACAAGTTGGTTGTCCTTGGCGACTTCAACGCCCGCGT